GACCGAAATTAAGTTTGTCAACAACCACCCCAAATCTCGAAGCCAAACCAGCGAGCAATCTAGATCCACCAACTATGGCTCTGCCTGGGACGAAGAACAAACAAAAAAGATCCTAAACCTTACAGATGAGCTATCACCACCCCCGGCTACCTTACTTGAACCAGAGGCGCAAGCACCTGTTGACATCCAGCATTTAGAAGTAGCTGCAACCCTCTACCCTCCGCTGACCGAATACCCATCAAGCCCACCCCCGGTGGCCAGACCCCTCTACAGTGACACACTTGGCTGTTACAATACCGAAACCCTCATCTCTGTCATGCCACCTACCCATGACGATTTCTGCCGCGACCTATACCAATCCTTCAATGAAGAGAACTTAGGACAGGAGGAGGGTGAAGGACCTAGCCGTGGAGAACTCATAGAGGAAGAAAGGGATGTACGGTCGGCTATGGATGACCTGAAGGGAACCTTTCGGGCACAGATGATCAAGGCCTACCGCTGCGACCCCCTCTACCACAAAGTTCTTGACAGTGGAAGGACCGGAGACCTTAAACTCTACGAAATCTCGGACGGAATGATATATGCCCCTACCCGATATGGCAACAAGGCCCTTTACGTCCCCGATGGACACCTAGTGAATGGAAAGACACTTCGGGAATACCTGATCAGTGAAATCCATGACAAAGGCCATGCTAGCGCTGACTGGAACCTCCATTATGCTTCAGAATGCCTGTACTGGCCGGAAATGCGTAATGATTTCAAACATTATGCGAAGACCTGTGAAGAATGCCAAAGGAATAAGGAACCTACTACCCTACCGGAAGGATATGCCCAGACACTGAAGCTACCGGCTGACATGTTTGAATCATATGCCATAGATTTCGCAGGACCCTTCAACAAATCCGGTGGATATGACACTATCCTAGTTGCGCTGGACCATTTCTCTGGATTTACCTGGCTCATACCTACCCTTGCATCATCAACAGCCCAAGATACATGGGATCTACTGCGGCGGAATGTCTTTACCCCTCACGGCCATCCCCTCTCTATCATTACCGATGCAGACCCTAAATTCACCTCTAAGTTCTGGAGACAGACCTTAACCTCAATGGGAATAGAACACATCCTAGCCGCGCCAGGCCACCACCAAACGAATGGCCAAGTGGAGCAGAAGATCAGAGAAGTTAAGACAGGCCTCCGGAACATAATCAACAAGCGACAAAACAACTGGGAACCAGCCCTTCCGGAAGCAGCAGCATACATCAATGCCATGTACTCCAACACTATTGACACGGCTCCTTACGAAGTAGTATATGGACGGAGCTACCCCCTTTTGCCGCGCACCATATTCAAGGACTCTGCAGTACCAGCTTCTGATAGTCACCTCAATCAACATGAAGCCCTATGAAACGATGCCTATCAGGCACTAAGAACCGCCCGATTCCGAAATACAACAAAGGCACAGAAAAAGCGCAGACTTCATCATGCCATACCCCCCGGCGCCATGGTCATGGTACATGGGAACCTGTTCAGTCCCGAGACAGGCAGAAGCAAGAAACTCCAACCCCGCTGGCGAGGTCCTTTCAAAGTGCTGGAATTCGACAGCAATACCAAGAACTACACCATCAAGCTAGAAGGACGAATGTATCGGCATGGCAAGGCAGTGGTTCATTCAACTACAGTTAAGAGATGGCACCCAAATGATGATAGCAGATTCCCGGGACGCAGCCACTCCCGGCCAGCCCTGCTACTTATCCACAACCAGGAGGAGTGGGAAGTGGAAGAGATACTTGACCATAGAAAGCGCTATGGAACCGATCAGTTCCTGATCAAATGGAAAGGTTATCCGGACTCGGAGAATAGCTGGGAGCCAATGGAAGGAATTGAAAATGCGATGACCCTTGTGCATGAGTGGTGGGAAGCCAACATGCCTGGAGAACGACTACCACCCACCATCAACCATATAACAATAGCTTGGTCACCTACCTTACCCACCACACAATGAATACGCGAAGACCCTCCTACCAGACCGGATTTCTGGGCTCCCTATGACGCAAATGAGTTTGAAAGCAGCAGTGACGAAGACCAAGTAGGGGCAGATGTTATAGGCACCTTTATCTAATGGCATGCTCTCTATCCGAATACCTTAAAGATGGAAAACTATGAGGAACTAAATGTGAGGCTACGCCATCAGCTTGTGGGACTGTTGGTGGACCGCGGTGCTATCCTACTTGATAACTACTTTGATACCCTTTTGGTTGATTACTGCCCGAATTGCGAAGACCTACTGGTGGAAGTATGGGAAAGAGCGGCAGGTATCCGCGATTACTGTGATTTTCATTTCGTTTATTCCAATTGTTTTTTGCAGTTGCGGACATGTATGTTTTATATCGGTGATGGGGATTGGATGCTCGCTGATGAGGAATATGGCGAGGATTTTTATGAGGATTTTGATTTTCGAGATTATTGATTTGTTTAAGTAAACAGATGTTTTGTTTTGGGAAATGTAACCGGAACTGGAGTTCAGTCCGTTCGGTTCAAGGATTTGTTTTATGTTTTGTTTTACTTGTGGTTTCGAGTATCCTTTGATACTCAGTTTGTTTTACTTGTGGTTTCGAGTATCCTTTGATACTCAGTTTGTTTTACTTGTGGTTTCGAGTATCCTTTGATACTCAGTTTGTTTTACTTGTGGTTTCGAGTATTCTTTGATACTCAGTTTGTTTTACTTGTGGTTTCGAGTATCCTTTGATACTCAGTTTGTTTTACTTGTGGTTTCGAGTATTCTTTGATACTCAGTTTGTTTTATGGGTTGCTCACGGAGGATTTGGAAATCCGTCCAT